GAGCACTGGGGAGCATTGAGGGGCATTGGGGAGCATTAAGGAGCATTGGGGAGCATTAAGGAGCATTGGGGAGCATTGAGGAGCATTGGGGAGCATTAAGGAGCATTGGGGAGCACTGGTGACCATTGAGGTGCACTGGAGAGCATCGGGGAGCACTGGGGAGCATTGTCACATGTTTCGATCACCGTTCATTGCAATCCCGACCGAGGAGGGTCAGTTGGACATCCTGATCCCTTTAACCAGGCAGGGCTGTGCTTCTGAGCTGGAGGATAAAATCTTATCATTTTTTTCTGAAATAAAGTTTTTTTAAGCCATATGACATTTTCACTTAATACATTTCTTTGTGCAAATGTGGCTATAAGCCTGGTGTTCAGGTTTTGAAGGTGCTCTTGTAGAAGGAAATGATACACATATACATATCTAATATCTAATTTGTTTAACCGTTTTTCTTGCAAAGTAAGCAATGTCCTGAAAAAGAAATCCCTTGATTCATTGTACTGTTTTTATTTGCAATATAAGCGTCATCTTCTTCAAAACACATTTTTGAATTAATTCAGAAATACAAGGGAAATGGAGGATTTCTATTAACATAAAATGAAGCTGAAAATGCCTTCAAAATATAGGTTGCATTTTTGATGCCTGTCTTGCAGCATTTGTGTTATGGCCAAGATCCCCATTCTGTTTGAGTCAATGTTTGTTCTCATTTAAGATGAGAGATGTTCTTGTGATGAGCGGTAAGGAACCCAGCAAGCAATAGCATATCTACCATTTGTTTGGAACATTTTACGCATTTTAAGCATGACCGGCTCCACGATTAAAGTGTCTTCACTGTGAGAAGTCACTGTCTGCTTCAGCTTGGAAGTATACATTTTAACTTGCTGCAGTGGCATTTCAAGTTCAAATCAGAGGGTAAAGATGAGTCACCTACATCTACAGGACAATGAGCTTGAGAAGGCCGTATGTGCTAATCTGAATGTCATCTGGCCTTAATGGGAGCTTCAGTCAACTTAAGAAAATATTAGCATTGTTATGAAGTATATACGTGATGTTTTGTTAAGCCCATACCCCTTCTCATACCCCAAAATTGTGCCTGTTCCTTCTTTCATAGTTTTCTTTGTCATCTCAGCTGGAGTCTCAAAGCTCGCTTTCATTTCAAGCCACAGTATTAGTCCAAACTCACAGCCACACACTTCTTGTTAAATGTCTCTCATGGGGCTTGAACTCAAAATCCACAGGCTACAAGGTCTGTCTTAAACCATCCCACTACCCACCACTACATACAGCTATTAACCTTCAGCTAACCTTCAGCTAAGCTTCACTACAGCTGCATTTTCTATGTAGCTTTGGATTGAATCTTGACAAAACCAGCTTGTATTGAAGGATGTCAGTAATGATGAAGTTCTTCAGTGGTGGACTGATGAGCCTTCAAGCACGTGGAAATTCTGGCTGTCGATTCTGTTTGTGTTGCGTACCAATGTGAAATGCGCGTCTTGGCATGTCTTCAAGTTAAGTCACCATACAAAATGTTCAGCTACTTGAACTAAATTAATCAAGTTGACATTTTTATGTCTATTTGATACAATGCAATATACACATTGCCATGTCTGTCATTAACTCTCAGTATTACTGTTTTTCTCTGTTATTTCCTTTTCTTTTTGGTAACATGCCCATTCAGATGATTTTGTGAATGGTTTATGGCATCATGACTCCCCGTCGTCATCTGTTCATCATAAAAGATATTTCAGTCCAAGAATACTTCTGCGGGAGAGATGGTAGGGCAATGGCTGCTCTTCTCTGCGTGAAGGTTCTGCTTGCGGTTCTGGTTATGGTCTTGGGTTGATGGTGCCATGTGTATCTTCTCTCTGCATGGTCATTGGGGAAAGAGTAAGCTGTGCAGAACAACTGAATCAGCTTAGAACAATCAGTTTCAATGAAAGTGTGTTTTAAATGGATACATGCCCTTTTCAAATCATTCTTTAGTTTAGGGGAAGCTTTTATTTGCAGCTGCTGTTTAATCCATTTATACAGCAGGATTTTTACTGAATCATTTCACGTATCTCACCAAAGGTACAACTGAAGAATCTCTTCTAGGAATCCATATGCTTTCTGCTGCAATTTAATGCACCATCCTGCAACACCTTTTGTAAAGAGCCAATACACTGCACCACTGCAAACTGCACATCTTGTGTATTACATTTGAAGGTGCTGAGTTGGATTGAGGGATGGCACGGTGCTGCAGTGTTTCATTGTTCTTTCATTTAAGTTACCTTTATTACCTTTTTACTTAAATGTTACATAAATAATTTGGCTCAGTATGTGATTTTAATATCTGTGAAAGGTGGGTGTTGCATGAATGACCCCAAAATGAGAGAAAATTTAATTAAGGCGCATCAGAAACCAGAATATTGGAGGTTATTCACTAGCTGGACTCCTTGGGAAAGATAAGAATACAATAATAAGTGACTGGATCTATCCATCCATTTTCTGTAACCTTTTATCCTATTCAGGGTCACAGGGGGTCCAGAACCTATCCAGGAGGCTACGGGCACATGGCAGGGAACAACCCAGGATGGGGCGCCAACCCATCACACTCACACACCATTCACTCACACACACACACCTATGGGCAATTTAGTAACTCCAATTAACCTCAGCATGTTTTGGACTGTGGGGGGAAACCAGAGTACCCAGAGGAAACCCCATCATGACACGGGGAGAACTTGCAAACACCACACACATGGAACTCAGGAGGAGATTTAAATGCAGGTCCCAGACGCATGAAGCAACAGAGCTAACCACCACGTCACCATGCCGGCCCGAGTGACCAGGGGTGAGTTTCCCGAAGCGTTCTTAACGCTACGTCGTTCTTAAGTTCTGTGTTAAAAGATAGAACTAACGAACGACGTAGCGTTAAGAAGGCTTCGGGAAACTCACCCCAGATCATTAAATTGAATATCACTTAAGGATGAAATAGGTAATGCTACATATTTCTTAATGGAAGGACCGAAGATCATATCCTGTATTGTTGTCTAATTTCTGTCTATTTTTAACCAAATTATGACTTTAATTCATTGCATGTGTAGTGGAGCACATCAAAATCCCACAGTTTTCTAGCTTTTGATGAATGATCGCATGGCTTTTGCTTGCACTTTTTGTCAGACAGTGGATTTTAACTGAGCCCTCTTCTCCTCCGCTCCACAGAGCTGTGCTTGTTGTCCTCTCAAAACAATGCTCTGGGCTTCTTTTTTGAAAGAAAGTATTCAGAATCATACAGATATCTTTGCCAATATGAAGGGAGGCACCATCATGAGGGGAAAAAAGCTGTTAAGAGTCCACTTAAATGCCATCTAAATGGCTGGTTTTCTGAGGCGTTAGATGTTGTCCATTTTGTATGAGCTCTGCATAATGTCTGCATTGATGAGAGGTGATAGCAGACTCTTGTTCAGCTGTGTGCTTCTTTGTTAATGCTCCGCATGGGTCTTGGATGGCTGCAACTTAGAGTGAGTAAGCAAGGCCCTTGACAGTCGTCACAGGAAACCAGTTTCTGTTTTGCCAAGAATGCTTTCCTCAGAAGCATGAAGAAATTTCCAGAGCCTTGGGAACAGTGCAGAGTCCTCCATTAACACCTGAAATGTGTGAACTTCCTTCCGAAATGAACGACTGATATAGTTAATTAATTGTGTTGCTTGGCAGCACACATTTACATGGCTGGGGATGTTTCAGAAAGTCGACTTTCTCTGGGATGGTTCAGAATAAGTTATTTGAACTGATTTAGGTCTAACCTGCTAGATTTGCCAAAAACTTATTTTCTTTTGTCTCTGGATTTTGTTTCTTTCTCTTAAACTCGTTTCTCAGTCTTGGCCAATCTTGTAATAATATCTTCATCCTGAATCACTGAAGTCACTCACTGTCAGCGAGCAGGAAAAAAGGGTTCCTGTCTTGTATGACACTTGCCAAGCGGCTAATCGCTGAACTCTAACACCTAATGCTGAGCTAGCAGCAGCAGAGTCAGGGTTAATAACAGCTGTTCTGATGCAGGTTCCTCATCTTTACACATGACATTTACCCAGGCAACCATGAATCTGACTGCGAAGACTGAAGTTCGTTGGAAGATATAATTAGTCTGTGTGCTTTTTGAAGCACGCAGTCAGGCGTCGTAAACCAAAGAGACCAAAAAACAAGTCATACAGTGGAAATAGGTAGACACATGGATGGATGGATGGATGGATGGATGGATGGATGGATGGATAGATGGATAGATTATTCTGTTAGAATAAAAGTATTTGAATAGCTAAGAATTACAGAATAAATATCAGCTCCTGGTTTAATTGCATCATTAAGGCACTTGTACCTGTAAAGGTTGCTGTAATTATTACAAATTAGCACTTTCTATTAGTCTGGCTTTATCATTCAGGTTATGTAGCACCAAACAAAATATTGAAAACCTTTGTGCTTATGCTATAATTTTTTTTCTTACTTTTCAAGTTTTTTCAAGCGGCAAGTAGAAAAATCTGCTTTCCTTTTAGCTGTGTTTTTACCACGTGTACAGCATAATTAAGGATCCCTGTGCACCTCCTGCATAGCAATATTTAATAGATTAATCAGAATGCAATATACTGTATTGTGTATTGTGACATTATTACTATGATAACAGAACCATGTAAAAAAGTATTACAGTTTAAAGGTATTACCATGTAAAAAGGTATTACAGTCTAAAAATCTTCAAATAAAAATAAAATAATAAATATGGAAAGGAAAAAGATTATTAATGTTATTTATAATTAACATTTAGCACATAGATGTTACTTTTTGTTATATTACAATATAAGCTTAGCTCAGGCACCTTAATGGTAGAGACTGTTATGTAATAAGATTATCTCTGCCATGAAAAGGCAAGTGTGTTATTATTTATATAGAATTTAATAGAACTAAAAGTATTGAGGTTCTGCAACTTGCAGTTTTTAGCCATTTAAACTGATGGATGATCTCACCTGTTTTACATTTTAAATTGTCATTTCAGGTTCTAAATAATAATAAATCACATTCCTGAATGACTATAGGCCAGTAGCCCTGGCCTCTGTAGTTATGAAGAGTTTTCAGAAAATTATCCAACAATCTCTCAAAACCACTACTGAAGCTCTCCAGGACCCTCTACTGTTCGCTTACAGATAAAACAGATATACTGACAATGTCATCAACATGATCCTGCACCTGGGGGGTGATCCACAAAGCAAGATTTTTTGCTTAGCTGGATAACTTGTTGGATTTAAGGTAGTATGAGCTAAATATAAGTGAAAAAGACAACATCCATTTAGCCCAGGCTACCTTAAATCCAACAAGTTATCCGGCTAAGCAAGAAATCCTACCTCATAGTACATCCCCCTAGACCTCTCTCAGACTGATTCTGTTTGTGGATGTTAGTTCTGCCTTTAATTAACACTATCAACCTTGATCTACTATTTGCAAAATCTGTGACTCTCAGTGAGCCATTTCTCTGCTACTAGATCCCATGACTTCTTGACCACCAGGAATCAGGTTATGAATTTGGTCAACCACATGGCAGATCCCATCTCCCTCAGCACTGCTGCTCCACAATGATGTAATCACTCGCCCCTGTTTTACTCTTTGTATACCAATTACTGCATTTCATAAATGAATTCTATAAAACTCTTCAAATTTGTGGATGACCCCACTCTGATTGGACTCATCAGGAAAGGTGAGGGGTCCAGCCACCAAAAGGACTTTTGTGGCGTGAACAACTTGGAGCTGAAAACACAGAAATGACTGTCGACTTCCAGAAAACACTCACTGCTCATACAGGAGACTTCAGTCAGCAGAACTGAGACCTTCAAATATCTAGGCATCACCATTCATTCATCAGCCATATAACTAAGAAGGCCCAAGTGAACCTGTACACCTTGCTGTAGAATTTTAAGGAGTTATTGATGTTGATGGCTCAGTTCTACATGGCTTCAATAGAATCAATTCTTACATCCACCCTCTCTGTCTGATTTGGCTCTGAAATACTGCACTGTAAGCAGAGGGTGTTATATGAGGAGAAGAACATCAGCTGCTAGGTCCCTGGGCTTGAAGTCCTGTACAAGGAACCCAGCTATGAAAACCATATCTGACCCTGGGTCTCCCTTCTTGGTGGAAGCTGAGAGTAAGAGTAGAAGGATTAACAGCACAAATACATGATGCCCCCCCCCAGGCCACTGACCTCCTAAACGAGATCCCATGAGAATCACACGGGCGCCAGTGAGACCTTTACACCCCCCCTGTAATTCATACTCCTGACTCTAAGCTGATTTACACATAATCATCTTGATGTCTCAACTTTATTTGCACATCTTAAATCACATTTTTATTTTTCTCTCTTAGCTTTTATTGTTATTATATTTATTGTTTTATGTACTTTTGTCTTGAGGGTAACTTTACATTGTATACTCATGTCACAGCCTGCAAATTCACAAAGTACAAACTCCTTGTACTTTTAGTACATGGTGATTAACAGGATTCTGATTCTGATTTTGCTGATAAAGCTTGGGTTGAGTACAGCAGGGCACTCTATGTTCTTGAACTGGAAGGCTTTTGGTCCTTGATGCCCAAAGCCAATGCCAGGATGTGTTTTTAATTTTTTTTTTTTTTACGTACATTACTACCAGCTGCTAGCTTTCCGAAGCACTGCCTTTAAGTGACCATCCTCAAAGCAGGCATTTCCGTGCCCAGATCGAGCATGCAGAGTACATTGCCTCTCACTCTCAGAACTGATAGCTCTTTTGACACACGAGTCTGTTTGCATTAAGTCAGGAGTACCCTCCATTGCTGAAATGCTTCCACACAAAGAAAGGAAATTTAATCAGCCAACTGAGTATGTTCTGCAAACAGAAGTGCAGAGTGAACAGTTTCTGATAAAGTACCATTTTAAAAGTTTTCTTTATGCTTTTCATTCGAGAAGAGTTTGAGGCAGACCCGCAGAAAAATATTCATTTTGTACAAAACAATTGCTCCCATAGATTCAAGGTCCTTTAGAAATTCTAATTCAGTATCATTTATTAGGAATACAGTATTTGCCTGTTTTTTATTATTGTAATATTTCCCCACAAATATGATAACATTTCAAGGGGATCTAAACATTAATAAGCAAGATGCCCGTTGTAAAGAACGATTCCATTCAAATTGTACATTTATTTTCATCACCAGGCAATTTCCTACCTGTCCAGAGGAAATAATGTTGCATGTAGACTCAACAGAGGAACCTCACTTGCTTAAACTCTGCCTTTGTCATGTTAGAAGCGTGTGAGGAAAATGTGTTGTGCCATAAGTCATCAGTATTCTGTTGTACTCAATGTCAACACCTTCCACATATGTCTCCTGTGTAAAGCAAGATGTTTTTACTGAGATATTTAGGTTAAAAAGAGCCCCCCCCCCCTCCAACCACTCAGTCTCCATTGTGTCCTTGGTACTGTGAAGATGTGAAGAATATTGTGGTTTTTGGCTAAACCGAGAATCCTACAAAAATAGCTTAAGACAAAAAAAAATAGTTGGCATCCATCCAAACAGAATCTTGGACAGGCTCAGTTTTATGCATAACTAAAACTAAACTAAACTAAAAGTTGTAATTATTTTGTATGGTTTCTCATCTCGTTGAATGGGAGGAAAGTAAAGTGTTGGGTTTCCATGAAATTCCACTTTAATGTTTTGTTTTCTGGCGCCATCCAGCAGGCGGGAGGACAAACTGCGGATTCCCAGCGGGTGGCTGTGTCACCTGGCCCCCGAAATTATCCGCCAGCTCTCACCTGATACAGAGGAGGACAAGCTCCCTTTCTCCAAGCAGTCTGACGTGTTTGCCTTCGGGTAGGTGCTGAGCCGCTTGCCCCCCCCCCCCCATTCTCACTCATAAGCTGCTGGATTGTGGACCTTGGCCGGTGCCTTGTAACTCTAAATAAACCTCCCATTGCAGCACGATCTGGTATGAACTGCACGCACGTGAGTGGCCTTTCAAGAACCAGCCAGCAGAGGCGATCATATGGCAAGTGGGCAGTGGGATGAAGCCCAATCTTAGCCAGATTGGCATGGGCAAGGAGATCTCGGTGAGCATCAGCATAAGGCTTCTGCCGGGTAACACATTGCTGTTAATGCACTTAATCCTTTGGTTAATGTTAATGCGTTTCACAATGGAATAAACAATATGGGAATATTTCTGAGGTGAGACCGCCAGTGCCAGGCTTCCTGATCATTACTGGGAACCAAAACTCACCCAGTCCTCATGTAATGCAGTGAAGAACTTTCATTAAATTTCCAAAACTCATTCAGTTAATGTAAATTTCCTTAAAACAAATCCCTCTGACTGACTTAGTTTTGGAAATGTGCTCTTCAATTCAGATGTATAAGTCACACATGTCTTTGTTACCGCCCTGATTTTGTCTTGCCTGAATTCCCGATGTCATCTTCGCCATGCTGATCATGTGTTTGTACTGTTTTTTTCCCAGGATATTCTGCTTTTTTGCTGGGCTTTCAAGCAAGAGGAGAGACCGAGCTTCTCTAAACTGGTGGATCTGCTGGAAAAATTGCCAAAACGGAACCGTCGTCTTTCCCATCCGGGGCACTTCTGGAAGTCAGCTGAGTATGTCAAATGAGTTAAGAACAAATCAAAACAGAACCAGACAAAAAACCCATCCTCCCCCCTTTTGAGTGCACTGAGAAATGCCAGCCATAGCTCAAACTGTATTGACTGTGACCCCCCCCACCCCCACAGATTGTCTGTGCACTTGGTGTGTAACTTATTAATAGTTCCAAAAGACTTCTTGACATTGTCAGAACTCATTTATTTTTTGTTGTTTGGGGCATTGATTTAATTCCATTATTTAACTGACCAGTTTCCTTCTCACGTTGTCTTCTTGGTTTATCTATTGTTTGCATATTTATTTATTTATTTGTTTATTCTTTAATGTTATAACAATGATGACTTTTTGTGTCATGAATCACGTCATAATGTATTTTACTGCATTTTTATGAACAAAATGCACAGCTGAGTGTGTTTTCCCCCTTTTTGTTTTGATTTTGTACGAAAATGTAGTTTTTAGCGTGAAAGTCATTGTTTTACAACAATGTACAATGTACTTCTGTCTCAAGTTGCCATTTCTCCTGTTTTCCTGTGTCTCTCTTTTGCCACGCCGTTGCCATTCACCCATCTGTGGATGTTTGTTCGTCTTGTGTGTGTTAAAATCAAACCGCATTACCCCTGCAAGGAGATGCCCAGAGACTCAACCCTCCATTCTCTGTCTGAAGAAATCTACCCTGCCATATATAGGAGTAGGTGGTAATTTTCTGGGTAATTGTAGTTTTCATGTTACTTGAACACTGGGTTGTTGTCTCACTGACAACTCAGAAATAAACAAAGGCAGATAATCTACCTACTGTGGAGCACAGCAGTCGGCAGAAGTCAATCACCATGATTTGACACTTGAGATCTATCGCATTAACCATGAAAAAACCACTAAATCACTTTCGCACGATGCCGATATCGACGCCGGTGGGAGAGAGAAGCGGGTGTTTGGCACGTTTGTTTGCCTGGGCGGATTTAATTACATATTTGCTGTTTGTTCAATTTTTTTTTCAGTTCTTATCACATGTTCACTTGTTTACAAAACATAGAGGGCAATCACATATCTACAATCGTGCTGAAAACTAATGCCGATTCTGTATGATGCACGTCCAAATTGGATGCATCTAGATCCAGATTCCAGGACATCACCTCTCTCTGACTGTTGCATGCTCTGAACGTACGTACATATAAATAAATATATATATACATATATAAATATATAAATATTAATAAATATTGAATAAAAGACTATATCTGTCCATTTTTGTATTAAATGTAAGTCTGGGAACACTCTCAACGTCTGAGTTTGACTGAATGAGTCATGTCATAGCTGTCAGACTCGTGAGGAGTGTAAAATCTGTCAGGACTTTCCTTAAGCCTGAGCCACGTGAAATACAGGTAGACAATCCATGATGTACAGAACCATTTCTACTTCTGACGTGTATGCTGGCATTGAGTATGGACACAGATGTTTTTCCACCTCTTCAGAGCACATTGATCTGTTTTGGAACTAATAGAATTCACACGTCGTAAGTGGATCATGTATATTTTTTAAGCGTATCCGGAGATCGGAACCTTACATGCACGCGGCAACTTAATCGATTTACGTGGGGGGGAGAGACCCTTCATTTCTTACATAGTGACTTATTTTGAGAATAAACGAATATGAGATTGTGCTGGCCGTGCTGGAGTATTTTCTGACGGAGTTAAAACTGCCAGCGAGAAATTGGGTCATTCTGTCACTGCGAGCTTTGTTAAAAAAAAACAAATGAATAAAATATATAAACAAAAAATAGATGTCTAAAAGAATGATCACAGTGCTATGTTTGTATGATGCTTGAAGCATCACAAACTGTCTTGGCGCTGGCTTGGGGGACACCATTCCGCTGAAACCCAGCCAGGGTGAGCCCAGCACCTATGTCAGTGTCATGCATATTTAATCAGCAGAAAGAAGCTTTCCAGCCTCCCATATTTCCATGTGCGTTGGTGTCTATGGTTTCCCTCCCCGTTTCCGAATGTTTACGTTGTGATTTTCCTGTGTTTGGTTCACTTTCTTCCTCCTTTTTTAACTGAAACTGTTTTCTGATATTTCATCTTCATTGTGTGCTGATTGTTTTTTTTTCCCTTCGTTATCCAGTCCTGTACTGTAATGTGTAGCTCAAAAGCATGTCTTTTTACTGCTGACCTTTGGTTCATGGCTTTATGTCTGGTGGATTTATTATAAAAGCTCTCTGTTTGCACTCATTCTTTACAAGTGTATGACAATAAAAAAATGCTTTCATTTTGGACGTTTTTGATTTTTCCAGTCATTTACTTCCCCTTTCCCTTCCATGTGATTTATTTATTTATTTTTTTTAATTTTAAGTTGGATGGTTTACATATCAGAAAAAGAAGAACTGAATACTGACAAAGATATGTGGCCCAAGTAGGTCAGCTGAACCATACGTTACAGGTTTATGTAAATCTCAACCATTAATTGCTTTTCTGGTCAGTCTCTTTAGCTCATAGCCTGGTTAGAAATGTTAATTGGGGCTGTAAGTTTGAAATTCAATAGGACTGAAAAAGCAGCGCAGATATAAGGCAGTAGAGTTCAGCATTAGTGTTGGCTGTTAGCAGCTGGAGGTACGAATGCTAAGTGCGAATAAATATCTTTCCCTCCAAAAAACACAAGGGACACCTGTTTTGATACCAACATTTTGCAGTTCTGCATTTGAATTTTCTAATGCATGATATAATAGGTATGTTTGTCTAGGTGGGATTTCTTCCACATCCAGGGGTCTTTTTACCTGTGGCTTCTAGATATACAAGTACCTTTGGTTCTTAAGCTATGTGGATGTATTAAGAGGTTCAGAGGCAAACAGAAGTCATGTGGAAGTCCCCTGTCCCCAGTCTGTACCCAAGTATCTTAATTGGTACGTCATCTTCTGTGGAAATAATTGGCTTGAAAAATGGGGTTGGATCTTAAGGCCATCTAATCTTCCAGAAAGTGAGACCCGCAGGGGTCCCTAGCCCAGAATATCTTGTACTGGCTGTAACATTGGGCTACAGGTAACCACACGGCCATGGGGGAAAGTTCTTCTGCATCTGAACCGTGAGAAGATGCGTCGTAACGTGGGCTCCACCGTCTGCCTCTCCTGCCATGGCACGGCAAAGAGAAAATGCCACAAGCCTGGTGAAGAGATAACTGTGAACTGGATGTGGGCGTTTGTGGAGTGAAGATGGATGATGACACTTGATGAGCGAATCCACTGGATAAAAAATACCAACAGACCTCGCTCCCTATTCCCAAGGAGCGCGTTCTAATTTAATTTTGCCAAATGACCATCAGAGTTAGATGCATTGTTCTCCAGAATGGATTCCAATTAGCAGTTGACATTTCTTTTGTGCACAGAACAGATGCAAATCACTTCCTAGCTTATCTCAGCTAAATTGAATCGGCCTGCAGACAGAACTAACCACAGGAAGGCCATTATTAGTGGTATAGAAATTGGGTTGGGGTATCAGAATCCAATCACAGCAAAGCTCAGGCAGCAGCTTCTTTTCCAGCGTCGCCATGCGAAGTTGGCTGCACTTCCTTGGTGACTAGACCTGACGATATTTAATACTTGAGCAGGATAACAGATCGATGCCTCATTAAAATTCAACATATTGCAGTCAGAAGGATAAAAGCCCAACAAAATATCAAATATATTTTTTTCATGGAATAGATTCACAATTTGCTTATTTTTCTCGTCTTGGAAAATGAGAACTACATACTGTGCATCAAACATTTTTAAATTGTATTACAACTCCATAAATGATCACTCTTTATCAAGGATTATATATTAACCAAACATATTTCTGAAAGAGTTTAAAGATATTACCAATTCTTTTCAGATACACAGCAATTTTTTGGATTTAAATAAATTTGAGGATGTTAAGCCGCCAGTCTATGCTATGGAAGAAAGGTAAACTGCTTTTCAAAATATCACTGCATATTCATCCTGTGATCGGTGACAGGTTATGACCAAATGTCACCCCACCAAAATGTCATAAAGGTGTGGAAATCACAAACGGAAAATCAGTGAGATACGGGCCAGATGGACAGGCAAGCCTCTCGGTTTTGTGATATTTCTCGTATCTTCACAGCCCTCATAAAACCAGCACATCTACATAATAACAAGATGCTTTGCTTTGCAGAGGACCACAACACGGGTCTGAAACCCTAACCTCAGTCCGATAGAACATCTTTGGAAGGAAACGACAGCAGGGTTAAAGAAAGACAAGAACACACTCATATATAATTGTCCATATTGTATCCAGTTCAGGGCTGGAGTGATTCTTGAACATATCCCAGAAGGAACAAGGGATGCCAGTCCATCAGGGCACCCTCACCTGTGGGCAGAACATTGTGTAGAGGTAGCCATTCACCTACATGAACACCCAGAGAGGAAGCCCATCCAAACACACTCACAGTGCATGAACCCTGGATGAGGTCACAGGTGTATCCTCTGAGGTATCATGGTGCCCTAATTAAACACACAAATTAAAATCTCTAATATACATTTTTGTGATATTTTGGGTCATATTAATTAAGCTTTTCAATGAGAAATAATGGTTGCAGGTAAACAGATGACACCCAGATCGTTTCAGACGTAGAAGTACACAAAAGCTAAAATGCGTAAGTATGTTATAGTTAAAAAGTTAGACCTTAACTTTTTAAAATTCTGTCACTTGGTAAGCAGGTTAACTCCCAAATGAATGCTGAAAGAGATGTAATTCTTTCGTTGTTTTCCGACAGTCTTGAAATGTCAAAAATAAAAGGCACCATTATGATTTTGGCATAACCGGTGCCTCGACTGAGTGGGCGAGAGCCTTCAAAGTCTGCAGTACTCCTTCACTCCAGCAATTAAAAACCGTACACTGTATATGAGAGATAAAAAGCTGTCACAGAAGATGCGCGTTCACTTGTACAATGCAAGAGAGGGAGATGTCGGGAGTAAAAAGTGTAATCTGAAGATTAGTTGTTCGCTCAGGCCAAGGCGACCTCATGCACTTATAAGGGGTTTCGGGGGGGAGTTCATTTGCCAGAGATGTTGACGTTCATTTCTCTTTACATGAATTATCTAAAAATATTTCTTATTTTCAGCCAGACTTTGAATCTTTGAACCTTGGGACAGTTTGTTTTCCTGCCTTGGCTGTAATTCTGCTCTGTCCTTCCTCCCCTGGCTGCACAGCCTCGTCTCCTGTGGCTTGCTGAAGGAGTGATGTACACTTGCTGACGTGACTTTGTTTTTCTTTCCCTCCTTATTCATAGGCTGTGACAGAGGACTGAGAGAGGATGTGCCTTGTTTTGTGTGAAGT